GAAGCAGTCACACCCCAGTATCAATGAGCACATCCAGCAACATAGAACACGGTCTCTAAATATCACTCTCCAAGGAAAGAAACTAGGTGTCTCTAGGGAAATGCCTAATTCTAGGGCTGGGACACAAAACATACAAGATGACACTAGAAGATCTTATAGTGCCAAAAAGTAAAAAAGTTCTCCAAATAAATAAATAAACCCGTGATGATGAGGGTGTGTAAAAAGAGCCAAATACAAGAGTTCCCAATGGCCAAAACAGGAAAATCTGAGTAACAAAACAAAATTATGCAACATGTTCCTGCTGATAAGAGTATCCCAAAGAATATATATCCCAAAGAATTATAACCCAAGGAATATATATCCGAGAGTCTGTCTGATATAAACAGGTGAATTAATCAGCAGTTAGACAATTATGGCCTGTGGGCCAAATCTGGCCAGATGTTTGTTTTTGGGAGTAAAGCTTTACTGGGCACACCTATGCCCATACATCTACATAATATCTGCGGCTGCTTTCACAATACACCCATAAAAGTGAGTTGTTGTCACACAGCTCACTTTTGTGTAAATATTTGTAATATTGTAAATATTTGTTCAGCTCACAAATATTTACTCTGCCACATTAAAAAAAAACAAAAAACAAAAACGTTGTCAACACTTAGCACTATAGAAAACCACAAAACAAAAGATATACAAAACAATCACGAAGCAAATGACAGGAGTAAGTCCTCATCTATCAATAATAATACTGAATGTAAATGGATTAAATTCTCCAGTTAAAAGATATGGAATGGCTGAATGAACTAAAAAGAAAGACCCAACTATTTGCTGCCTATAAGAAATTCACTTCACTTGTAAAGGCACACACAGATTGAAAGTGAAGGAAATGAAAAAGATATACTATACAAACAGAAACCAAAAATGAGCAGGAATGTTTATATGTATACCAGATAAAATAGACCTTAAGTTTAAAAAGTATAAAAAGAGCCAGGCGCGGTGGCTCACGCCTGTAATCCCAGCACTTTGGGACGCCGAGGTGGGCAGATCACAAGATCAGGATTTTGAGACCAGGATGGTCAACATTAGTGAAACCCTGTCTCTACTAAAAATACAAAAAAAGTAGCCAGGTGTGGTGGTAAGCGCCTGTAATGCCAGCTACTAGGGAGGCTGAGGCAGGAGAATTGCTTCAACCTGGGAGGCAGAGGTTGCAGTGAGCCAAGATTGCACCACTGCACTCCAGCTCGGGTGACAGTGTGAGGCTCTGTCTAAACAACAACGACAAAAAAATGTAAAAAGCAATAAAGAAGGTCATTATATAACAATAAAGGGATCATTTCAGCAAAAGGAGATTACAATTGTACGTATGTATGTACCCAACACAGGAACACCAGATATAGAAAGCAAATATTATTAGATCTAAAAGGAGGAACAGACCTCAATACAGTAATAGTTGAGATCTTCAACATACCACTCTCAGCATTGGACAGATCATATAAACAGAAAATCAACAAACACTGGAGTCTGCACTACAGACCAAATGAACCTACCAGACATTTATAGAATGTTTCAATCACCAACTGCAGAATGTACATTCCTCTCATTAGCACACGAAACATTCTCCAGGATGGACCATACATTATGCCACAAAAGACATCTCTACAAATTTTTTAAAAATTGAAATCTTATCAATTATCTTTTCTGATCACAATTAAATAAAACTAGAAACCAATAACAAGAAAAACTCTGAAACTGTATAAATAAATCAAAATTAAGCAATAGGTTCCTTAACTACCAATGGGTCAATGAAGAAATTAAGAAGAGAATTTAAAAATTTCGTGAAACAAATGAAAACAGAAACACAACACACCTATAGGATATAGAAAAGCAGTACTAAGAAGTTAATAGCAATAAGCATCTATATCAAAAAAGTAGAAAGATTTCAAATGACCTAATGATACATCTCAAGGAACTAGAAAAGAAGAAACCAAACTCAAAATTAATAGAAAAAAATAAAGATGAAAGCAGAAATAGAGACTAAAAAATACAAACGGTCAATAATATGGTTTCTTTTCTTTTTTTCATAGTCCTTTTTTTTTCTTTATTGTACTTTAGGTTGTGGGGTACATGTGTAGACAATGCAGGGTTGTTGTATAGGTATTTACATGGCAAGGTGGTTTGCAATCTCCATCCCCCGTCACCCATATCTGACATTTCTCCCCATGTTATCCCTCCCCAACCTCCCTACCCCCTACTGTGCCTGCCCTAGCCCCCCGTAACAGACCCCAGTGTGTGATGCTACCCTCCTGTGTCCATGTGTTCTCACTGTTCAACACCCACCTATGAGTGAGAACATGTGGTGTTTGATTTTCTGTTCTCGTGTCAGTTTGCTGAGAATGATCGTTTCTAGATTCTTCCTATAATATGGTTTTTTAAGGTATAAAGTCAACAAGCCAGTAGCTAGACTAAGTAAAAATAGAGAAGACACAAATAAATAAAATCAGAAACAAAAAAGAAGACATTATAACTGATATTACAGAAATAAAAAGGATCCTTGGAGACAATTACATATAACTATAGGCCAACAAATTGGAAAGCCTAGACAACATGAATACATTCCTAGACATATACAACCCACCAAGTTTAACTAGGACATAGAAAATAGAAATAGAAAACCTGAACAGACCAATAACAAGCAACCAGATTGAAGAGTAACAAAAAAGCCTCCCAACAAAGAAAAGCCCAGAACAGTATGGCTTTACTGCTGAATTCTACCAAACTTTTAAAGAAGGACTCTAACACTAATTCTTCTTAAAGTCTTCCAAAAATATGAAGAGGAGGAGCCAGGCATGGTGGCATGCACTTAGAGACCCAGCTCCTCTGGAGGCTGAAGTGAGAGCATCACCTGAGGCCATAAGTTCAAGGCTGCAGTGCCCTATGATCATACCTGTGAATAGCCACTACGCTCCAGCCTGAACAACAGAGTGATGGAGCATCACACACTGGGGTCCGTTGGGCAGCTGGCTAGGGAAAGGATGGCAACAGGGAAGATGGGGAGGGATAACGTGGGGAGAAATGTCAGGTATAGGAGATGGGGGGATGGTGGCAGCAAACCACCTTGCCATGGATGTACCTATGCAACAGTCTTGCACGAGCTGCACGTGTATCCCAGAATCTAAAGTACAATTTAAAAAATAAAAAATAAAAAAATTAATAAATAAACTGAAGAGGTAGGAACTCTTCCAAACTCATTCTATCAGGCCAGTGTCATCTTGACACCAAAACCAAACAAGGACACAACAAGAAAAAGAAAACTACAGGCCAATATCCCTGATGAATGTAGCTGCAAAAAATCCTTAGCAAAAAATACTAGCAAACTAATTCAACTACACATCAAAAAGATAATACACCATAATCTAGTGAGATTTATCCCAGTAATTTCCATATGGCTCAACACACGTAAGTAAATAAATGTAACACACCACATTAAGAATGAAAGACAAAAATCATAAAATCATCCCAATGGATACAGAACAAGCATTTAATAAAATTCAACATCTCCTCATGATAAAAACTCTCAACAAATCAGGTATAGAAGGAATGTGCCTCACCATGATAAAGGCCATATCTGACAAACCCACAGCCAATGTCACCCTGAATGAGGAAAAGATTTCTAAGAACTGGAACAAGACAAGGACGCACACTTTCACCATTCTTATTCAATATACTACTGCAAAGTCCTAGCCAGGGAAATAAGACAAGAGAAAGAAATAAGGGGCATCCAAACTGGAAATGAGGAAGTCAAATTATCCTTAGATGCAGACAACATGATCTTCTATATAGAAAAATCTAAAGATTCCACCAAAAAATTCCTAGAATTGATGAATTCAGTAAAGTTGCAGCCTACAAACTGAACAAAAGAGTCACATTCCTATACAACAATAACAAACTAGCTGAAAAAGAAATCAAGAAAGAAATCCCATTTACGATAGCTACAAAAAAATAAAATACCTAGGAATAAATTTAACCAATGAGATAAAAGATCTCTACAATGAAAACTATAAAACGCTGATGGAAAAAATTAAAGAAGCGATTTAAAAAAAATGGAAGTACATTCCATGTTCATGAATTAGAAGAATTAATATTGTTAAAATGGTCATACTAGCCAAAGTGATCTGCAGAATCAACGTAATCCCTGTCAAAGTACCAATGACATTCTGCACAGAAATAGAAAAAAATCTCCTAAAATTCATATGGAACCACAAGAGATTCCAAGTAGTCAAAGTCATCCTGAGCAAAAGAACCAATGCTGGAGGCATCACACCACCTGAATTCAAGATACACTACCAATCTACAGTAACCAAAACAGCATAGTAGTGGCATAAAAAAATACATATAGACCTATGGAACACAATAGAGAACCCAGAAATAAATCTACATATTTACAGCCTACTGTTTTCCAACAAAGGCCCCAAGAACATGCACTGAGTGAAGCACAGCCTCTTTAATAGTGCCAGGAAATCTGGATATCCACATGCGAAAGAATGAAACTAAACCACCGTATCTCACCCTATACAAAAATCAACTCAAAGTGGATGAAAGACTTAAATGCATGACCCAACACTACGTAACTACTAGAAAAAAGCATAGGAAAAATGCTTTAGGACATTCATCTAGGGAATGATTTCATGAATAAGACCTCAAAAGCACAGGCAACAAAAGCAAAAACAGGCCAATGAGACTATGTCAAACTAAAAAGCTTCTGTATATACTGCAAAGGAAATAATGAACAGAATAAACAAATAACCTGCAGAATGGGACAAAATATTTGCAAACTATTCATCTGACAAGGGATTAATATCCAGGATATAAAAGGAACCCTACCAACACAAGAGCAAAAAAGCCAAATAGCTCAATTAAAAAATGGGCAAATAATCTGAAAAGACATTTCTCAAAATAAAATATACCAATGGCCAATAAGCATATATGATATGCTTATATGATATGGTTTGGGTCTGTGTCCCTGCTTAAATCTCATGCTGAATTATAATCCCCAGTGTTAGAGGTGGGGCCTGATGGGAGGTGACTGGATCATCGGGGCACAGTTCTCATGAATAAACCACCATCCTCCCTTGGTACTGTATGGTGAGTTCTCACAAGATCTGGCTGTAACAAATGCTGACAAGGATGTGGAGAAAACGGAACTTTATAAACTGTTGGTGGAAACATAAATTAGTAAAGACATTATGGAAAACAGTAAGGAGGTTCATCAAAAAACTAAAAATTGAATATCATATGATTTGATAATCCACTGCTGGGTATATATCCAAAGGAAAGAAAATCAGTATGTCTACGATATACCTGTTCTCTCATGTTTCCTGCAGCACTATTCATAATAGTCAAGATATGCAATCAACCTGTGTCCATCAACAAATGAATGGATAAAGAAAATATGGTATACATATTTATATACAATGCAATACTATTTAGCCATAAAAAAGGAGATCCTATCGTTTGTGGCAATGTGCATGAGCCTGCTGGACATTGTGTTAAGTGAAATAAGTCAGGCATAGAAATACAAATACCACAAGTCCTCACTCATATGTGGAAGCTAATAAAGTTGATCTCATAGAAGGAGAGAGTAGAAAATTAGCTACCAAAGGCTGTGAAGAATAGCACGGACATTGGATAGGGAGAGGTTAGTTAACAAATACAATAGTACAGCTAAGCAGAAGGAATAAGTCCTATGTTCTACAGCACTGTAAGGTGAATATTAGTTAACAAAATTCTATTGCATATTTTCAAATAGCTAGAAAACAGGACTTTTACTATTCCCAACATAAAGAAATGATAAATGTTTGTAGGGATAGATATGCTAATTACCCTGATTTGATTGTTACACATTGTCTTTATGTATTGAAATATCATACTATACCCCATAAATATGTACAATTATGTGTCAATTAAAAACTGTTCTTAAAAAGTTGAAATTTATATGGAAAAGCAAAAGAACTAGAATAACCAAAACAATTTTGAAAAAGAACAAGTTGGAGGCATAAGAGCGCTTATGCAAAATTTCAGATAAATTAGAAAGTTAAACAAAAACACAAGCACTTATCAAATATAAAAAATGTGTTTTAAGACTTAGTGGAGAAGGTCACGGAAACAAAAATCTAATGGCCATGAAGAGTGACAAATTTCACTAAATTAAAATTAAAATTTTTCATTTCATAAAAAACACCAAAAATAAAATTAAATGACAACACACTGAGAAAATATTCACATTTGCAACAAAACAGAAACATTCAAAATATATAAGGAACTTCAAGGTCAATTAAGAAAAAGAAGTAAAAATGGGCAAAGAAGCAGAATAAGAAATAGAAATTCAAAAAGTAAAAATGGACATCATCGTATTAAAAAGAGAGTCAAGCTCATTGCAAATCAGGGAAATGAAAATTAAATCAGTGAGAAAGATCAGCAAAATTGTAAAAGGTTGCTGATATCCTATGTTGGCAAGGATGTGAGGCTATGAATAGCTACATATGTTCTTAGCATACATAAATGGATATACCCTTTAGGGAAGGTAATTTAACAGGTATCTATGCAAATTAAAATGTACAACCTTCTCTCCTCCTCCTCCCACACACAGTACACAGGGTCACATCATACTAACTTTGCCTCACCAGTAGGCATGAAACAGAAGAAATGTGTCACCTCTGAACAGAAGGGTTTAATTTCCAGTTTTTTCTCTTCCCTACCAAAGCAACAGAGCCAGGCCATGAGTTGCAACACGATGCAGCTAAGAAAGAGTTAAGCCTTCAGCAGCAGCCTGGGTCTCTGAGGGACCGGCTGGGCAGAACATCCCACCAAACACTGTCAGACAAGCAGCATGAGTGAGAAATAAACCCTGGCGGTGTTAAGCCACTGGGAAAAACTCTGCACAAACCCTTGAACCAGCCAAATATTTTTAAATATCCATACTGATGGTATAACCAATTCTAAAGGGAAAAAAGAAATAAAGAGGGAGTCTATCAAAGTAGAACGGTTAGATAAAGACAGAGCTATATGTCTTAATGTACAGTATAATCCCATTTATGTTACCATATGCATGTGCCAATATATAAAGTCTGGAATAATTCACTGTTACTCTTCTATGGCTGCTGCCTAATTATTTACAATAGTTTGCTCTAAGGCAGGGGGAGGATGCACAAAAAAGTCTTTGATTGCTACTCAAATTCTTCCATACAGCTTTTTTTCAATGAACATTATTTAGATAGTATCTATCCTATTTTTAAATCAATAAAAATATTTCTTAAATTAATACGATTTCTATATTTTAAAATGACCAACTAGAGCGTATCACGGAGAAAAAATGAGAACATTACAAAAAGCAACCAAAAAACACTGAATTGCAAATGTTAACTTCCATGAGAAATACTGGAAAACTACACGAAGATAAACCACAAAATTCTACTGAGATATTTTAAAGGGCTTAAATGAATGAAGCTATATGCACCATGTTTGTGGATGAGAAGTCTTAATATATTAAAGCTTTGATTTGCAACAAACTGATCGATAAATATAATGCAGTTACAATTCAAGTCCCAATGAGTCCATTTTCAGAACTTTACAAAACGGTTCTCAAGTACCTCTGGGGGAATTAAACAAAAATAGCCAAGTGATTTTTGAAAGAAAAGAATAATGAGAAGGCACTTCCACAATTGCATAATAAAATATAATATAAAGCCACTACCCTTGTGAGTGTAGCATTAGGACAGGAAAAATAAATCAACTGAGCAAGAAAGGAAGCCTGAAAACACACCTTAGTACACTAGGAGATAAAATCTGAAACAAAGTAGCATCAAAATTCTGCCAAACAGCACAATTATTGCATAAGCGGCACTGCGGCAATTATATAGGAATATGGAGTGAGAAACCCCCATTTCACAGTGGAGGAATCAGAGTTTTGAAAATTAATTCCAAGAGTCAGAAAGCCTAAACACACACACACACACACACACACACACAGACACACACACACCTATAAAAACGTAGAAGAAAACAAGACAGAGGTAGACAGCCATCTCATATTTTGTTGAAAGATATCCCATGTTCAAAATAATATTTTGTTCAGAAAAAGCACGATCTGCACACTTATCCCATTTTTTAGAAGAAATTTTTAAAAAAGTATATAAAATGGACAAAAGTTAAGTGGCATGAAGTAAAAGAGTAAAAAAACAATCAAGAAATAAATAAAGATCTCAGGAATATTATTAGGAAAAGCACACAGGGCTGGGCACAGGGCTCACGTCTATAATCCAACACTCTGGGAGACCAAGGCAAGAGAATTGCTTAAGGCCAGGAGTTTCAGGCCAGCCTGGGCAGTGACACCCCATCTCTATAGAAAATTTAAAAATTAGCTGGGTGTGGTGGCTCATGCCCATAGTCCCAGCTACTCAGGAGGCCGCTGGAGGATCGCTTGAGCCCAGGAAGGCGAGGCTGTGGTGGGCTACGATCACACCACTGCATTCCAGCCTGGGTAACACAGTAAGACCCTGTGGACTGGTAAGGCCACAATATTAGGAAGCTAGCAGGGCCTACTGGAGGATGAGTGGACACAAAATGCCACAGCCAACAGTCAGCACTGCACACCAGAAATATGAGTGAGGCCATCTTGGACTTTCCATCCCAGCTGCACGAGTGAGCCCAGATGAAATCAACAGAACTCTCCCATGGAATCCTAAGAAATAATAAGCTGTTACTGTTTTAAACCACTAAGTCCACAACTGATATACCTTGATATAAAAGTTTATTAGAGGATTAGCTCAATCATGTGGAATATATGTGTACACACACCACCCTTGGCAAAAAGAAGGAAATGTTAACAAAAATATGAAACCTCATTTAATAGAATTATCTCAACCATGTAGAATATGCATATACACACACACCTGGGCAAAAAGAGAGGCGGGGACGTTAAGAATGTTATCTCCAGGGAGTAGGATTAGTGTTAATTATCTTCTTTATACTCTTATATTTACAAGGTTTCCTTTTATGAACAGATAAATACAAGTGAATAGCATTTTATTTTAAAGATTGATTTACCTCCCCAGCTAGACTTTGGCCTCCTTGATTGCAGAGGCTGTCTTTCTTTCAACTGTGAACCCACGGCTTGCCACGTGGTAGAGGTACAGTGAATGCTGGATGAATGAACACGGAAACTCAGGCTTATCCCCAGATTCAGGATTGGACTACAGCTGCCAACCTTCCTCAGTGGTCCCTGGACTTCCCCTAATGTGCACTAGACCAAACCTAGTGCCCATGAGTAGATGATGACCCAGCTACTCTGCCCATCATCCTGTGCTGGCTCAGGCCACAGGGCCTCCCTATGGGGTACTCTAGGGACTGTCTGGTTACCAGGCATCATAATCTGGCTCAAGGAGAGGGACAAGTGACCCAACCCTCCCAGAACTGCACCTGGTGGTCAGGGTCTCCTCCACGGCTATTCCTGGGTGCAGGCTCCCCTGAGTCCTGCCTGCTACCAGGACCCCCACTGCACGGTCCAGATCACACCTGGCCTTGCATGCCCTTGGATAACAAGCCTCACCTGTGGAGCCATGTCAGCATCAAACTTCGAAACCAGGTAAGAAGAGCAGCCCCCTCCCTTCTCTTGCCCAGCTGCACGGGGTGGGTGTGCCCATCACCACACCTCATACTCAATTCCAAAGTACACACAGGGCAACAACTGAGTTATGGAATATCGGAACTGTGCGTGTTGCTGGAAGACCGGGAGGTGAAGGTGACCAGCAAAAACTCCAGTACCTGAGGTGAGCAAAATGTTTGTCCTAGGAGGTCAGTGAGGTGTATCAGGTAGCGCTCTCTGAAAGCTCATTAACCAACTCCCTTCTTTCCCTTCTCACCCTTCCCTCTTCCAAGCCAGACACTGCTAATCAACACAATATACACTCCTAATCACCCTAGATCAACCCAAAATGCTCAGCACAGAATTGACACAGAAATGCTTGGCAAACTGATATTCTTCTTGTGCTTTTCAATATAACACTCCAGGCAGCCACAGTACGCTCTCAGAACCAAGACCAAAGATGACACTTGATCATCCATTCAACAAATACTTAACAAGTGCTCATCACATGCCTGGGACTGCAGTAGACACCAGAGGTGAAATGGTGGATAAAAACAAATGTGGCCCTCATGCCCGTGAAGCACACGATCATACATAATGTCACCAACCAACATTAATGGCAAACTGAGATAAGTGCTCTAAACAAAAGGAACAATGCTCGCCACCGTTGTGTAAAAGGTAACCCACCTGGTCTTGGAAGTCAGGGAAGGCTCCCTGGAGGAAGTGACACTCAGCATGGAAGGAAGAGCTGCCACTGACTGGAACAGGGCGTGCAAGAGGAACTCAGGGAGAAGGGACTTCCAGTTAGAGGGAATGGAATGTGCAACTGCTCTGAACCAAGGAGGAGTGTGGTCAGTGGTCAGCATGAGGAACAGAGAAAGGCCACAGGGCTGAAGCCAGGAGGCAGCAGGGCACGTTGAGAGATGAGACTAAGAGGGAAGAAGAAAACAGACCCTGCTGGGTCTCTGTGGCAAGTTGAGAACCCTGATCTCATCCTTATCCTAAGAGCAAAATAAGCCACCCAAGAGTATGGCAGGTAGAGGAGTTGGCCAAGGTATGGGCTCCCCTGGTCCAGGCTTAACATGGTTATGGTCTGGCTAGGAGCTAGGACCTCACTAGGTGAGTTCCTTGTGGGCAGGTACTCTGTGTGAATCAACCCAACAGCTTAGCAGTGCTTCGTCTACACTGACTTCAGGAAATGCTTCCTTGGCTCAGCCATCCCTCTGAGATGCAGAGTCCGGATCTGAATGCCCACCAGGACAGAAGGGAGCACTCAACACCCGGGACAAGAGGTGGCATCGGTTTCTCCTAGCTAGACGGCTGCTAACCACTCCTTTAGGCCGGTTCTGCCTTTGCAATCTTCCACAGGTAAGGCCATGCCCGAGGGCCAGGTGGCTGGGAAAACAGGCAGGGAGATTCCTGTCTTCACTCTTGCCAAAGGCCAATTCTGAAGAACAGTGGGCTGATGCTAGGGTCCTAATGTCATCAAGACACAAACTTACTGACCCCAAGAACCCCTTCACTTGCCAAAGCCTCTGCGAGAAACCACTGCTTCCTTCTGGGGAGCCCATCTGCTTTCAGGAATGTTCTAGAAGCTTGAGCCCAGCTGTAGAAGACAAAGTGAGGGAACACAGGCAGGTCCCCTGGAAGAATCTGTTCTTCCTATTCCAACAAAGAGCTGTTTGCAGGCCTTTGTGCTATTATGAATACTTTCCCTATTTCTTTCCGTAAAACTGGCATCATTATTATCCAATGGTTAGTAAATGTTTTTGTGAAGGCCCAGATGGTAAATATTTTAGGCTTTGCAGGCCATACAGTCTCTGTTGCAACGACTCAACTCTGCCCTTGTCATGCAAGCACAGCCACAGACAATACACAAACAAATGTGGTTGTGTTCCAATAAAACTTTGTTTATGAAAACAAATGGTGGGCCAGATTTGGCCTGTAACCATAGTTGCCAACCCCCACATTCTAATTTCTCCACTCCATGGTTTATCTCCTCTTTTCATCCATAAACATCACAAAATCTTCCTTCAAGTTATCCCATTTATTCACTAGGGGAGAAAAGCATATTGACCGTCTACCACATGCTGGACGCGGCAAGACATTAGAGGGGTGTGATCTGAACATCAAAGACATGGTCCGTGTTCCCACTGAACTTAGCATCCAGTGTGGAAGACTCACGGAAAAGTGCTCATTTTTCTCTACTCCGCATCTTTCCCTCAAAATAACACCTAACCCCTAGCCGCCAAGTAACTACATGCAAACATCAAAAGCTACTACAAATTCTGCAAAACATTTTAAGAAAAAGAAATCAATTACACCCATTAGCAGCCCCTTGGCTGCACGCCAGTTATCTCTTGAGAACTTCAAAAGTTGTGAAAAATGAGTTGCTCTCCATCCTCACACAACGTGAGCTCAAAAACTGGAAGGCAATGCTGGACCCTGCGCTCAACACTGGTGGTGAAGGGCTCAAGCTCAGGAACAAGATAAACCAGTTCCTGAAACTAGGCCTCTACCCTATAAAACCATGATCAAACTATTTTTGCCTCTCTGAGTCCCACTTCTCTCATCTGAAGACTGGGAATGATGATCACATTTTTGCACGTTGCAGGTATCAAATAAGTTGATGTTTGGGAGGAATTCACAACTGAGGCTGGCTTCTGGTGAACAATTATCACTGAGTTACCAACCAAGCCACTAGGGGCAGCCCCAGGGGAAACCATCCCCTCCTCCTGCACAAAAGTGATTAGCAAAGGCGCCAGAAATGCTCCACAGGTGTATAGGATACACCAAGAAGAAGGAGGCTGAGTCCAGGGACCACCTGGAACATGGAAGACAAAGAGGAAGAAACAAAAGCAGAGGCGGGTTTGGGGTTGCTGGCTCCCAGTCTTCAAGGCAAGAGTGCACGATGGAAAATCTTCATCATGGGAAGGCACAAGAGAGACCAGTTTCATTCATGAGAACAGGGGTAGGTGTTGGAAGCCCTGGCTCTTCAGTTACTTGGCCAAGAAACTCAGGTCAATCATACCTACAGACTTGTCTGCCTGCCCGTAAAATGTAAGTCTTGAATGGAAGCAGACGTTTTCTACCCACGTTCTGGGAAGCCCTACAGATTGATGGAGGCATCTCAGGAAGTCACCTCAGAGCACAGAGGTGCAATGAAGACCCCACATCCAACTCCCTGCACCAAAAGCCTGCCCACTAGGATTGGTTATAGCCATTATGGTTATGTCTGGGATTGCATTTCATGCTTAAAAAAAAAGAAAGAAAAAGAAAATTTTGGACAATAAAAATAAGTGTGAGCTGGGCAGAGTGGCTCATCCCGGTAATCTCAGCACTTTGGGAGGTCAAGAGGAGAGGACTGCTTGAGGCTAGGAGTTCAAGACCAGCCTGGGCAACACAGTGAGACCCCCCCACTACAAAAAAAAAATTAACTCAGCCTGGGGGTGGTGTGTGTCTGTCCTATACTACGGAGGCTGCCTCAGGAGGATCATTTGAGCCTTGGAGATCAAGGGTACGGTAAGCTATGATCATAGCACTGCACTCTAGCGTGGGCAACAGAGTGAGATCTCATCTCAAAAAAATAAAAGAATAAATGTGAAAAGCCTTGAACAAGACCATCCTTGTTAATGTATCCTTCCAGAGGGTTCCTTCTGGTTCAATGACTGTAAATGCCCCAGTTGGGAACGCAGCATCAGATGGGTCAGAACACACAGCTTGTTCAGGATGGCGTCACCAAATCCCAATGCTTTGGTGGTGTCTTTCTAAGTGTTCAGACCCAATGCTTAAGTCATAATCCCTTCCTAGTTTTTAAAACAATCCATGTCTGTTCGTAAAAGTGTGGCCAAGGTCAGCATCCAGAGAGGCAGTCTCATAAGCGAGGGGAACAGAGTTTATCTGAACCCTGGCTCAGGTCAAGGGTTGGAGCTTCAAGGGGCCTGTAATGCAAGGGCACAGTGTTCCATCACTGTACACTGGGAAAATTCCAGTAAGAGACTGTTGATGCCTCTTAAACCTAAAGTTTTTTTGTTTTTGTTTTTGTTTTCTCTGCAGTAGGGTATTAGGTTACTTAGGCTAGATCACCTCAAGTTTATCCAGAAAGAACAGCAGGATGCTTTTTCTACTAGAAGGGTTCAGAGGATCAAACTCCTCAGGGGTTTATCCAGAAAGTAAGGCAGGATGTTTTTCCTACCAGAAGGGCTCAGAGGATCAGAATCCTCAAAGATGATGCCCTTCCACCCTTCATGCCCCACAGGTTGTGGAGGATGTTAGGTCTATGGAAAAAAAAAAACAGCACTGGAATGGAAGGATAGGAGGAAACTTACATTTACTCTACAGGAAGTGGAGAGGTCACATCCATTATCTAGTGATATGGCTTGGCTGTGTCCCCACCCAAATCTCACCTTTAATTGCAGTAATCCCCACATGTCTAGGGCAGGGCCAGTTGGAGATAACTGAATCATGGGGGCAGGTTTTTCCCATACTCTTCCTGTGATAGTGAGTAAGTCTCAAGAGATCTATCTGATGGTTGTATAAAGGCCAGCTCCCCTGCACATACTCTCCTGCCTGCCACCATGTAAGATGTCCCTTTGCTCCTCCTTGCCTTCTGCCATAATGGTGAGGCCTCCCCAGCCATGTGGAACTGTGAGGCCATCAAACTGCTGTCTTTTATAAATTACCCAGTCTCCGGTATCTCTATTAGCAGCATAAGAATGAACTAATAAATCTTGGTACAGCCACAGCCCTCCCTATAAGGAAGTGAACCCCATTCCATTTTGAAGATGAGGCTCAGAAGGATTTCCGTCAAAGAGAAACCTCAACCTGTCCCACCCAGCTGCAAAGGGCGTCACCATACCCAACAGGCAATCAATAAATATCAGCTGGTAGTCACACTTCCTTTTCAAAATGAACAAATAAATAAAAGACACAGGAGTTTTTTTTTTTTTTTTTTACTTATATGTAGAAAGTACTAGAAGCTCAATCTGTAGTTCAAGTTTTTCTCAGTTCCAAAGCATGGAGAAAAAGCAGACAGGAATCTGGTAATGATGAAATCTTTATTATAAAGTTGCTGCAATCCTCATAGAAAATATTGAAAGATATAAAAAATTGCTTATTATAAAGCAACATGAGGCAATTACCTATCTACATTCCGAAAATAAAAATGTTCTTCTGGCAACACAGCGCCTGTTTGCAAATTGAACAGAAGCGTAAGGCGCCAGTCAGACAAGAAGAAATACAAATAGAAAAGCACGGGCAGGACTGCCTTCTCCTGTTTTGAAAATACAAATTTGTTCCAACACAATTTATATATTAGGGAATAATTTGAGCATAATGCAAATTTTGTGTTTGCTTGTGCACAATTTCATCCACGAGAAGCACTTAGATGAATGCAGAAAGCTGCATCTAGTTGAACGAAGCCATGGAGGAATACACAAGACACACACACACACACACACACACACACACACGCATACGTCTCAAACACCCATTAGCTGCCCTAATTCACCAAGACAGTGTGTTCCGGACAACACCTATCCACAACTTTCAGACAATACACAGTACTATAAATTGGTACAACCCTTCCAGCAGTGGTATAATAATATTTACCAAGTTATGTCCATATCTTTGAACCAAGTAATTTGAGAGAATTTACTCTAAGGACATAATTCCATAAGAAAACAGAAATAAGATGTGTGCACTAAAATGTTCATTGTGACACTGATGTAGATGTGTCATTATAATTGAAAAGACTATGTAACCAAATAGTAAATGAGTCTAACATGTTATTCAGTGAACAGAAAATAAAAATGTGTGTAAACAGGTTAATAGTATGAAAACATAGAATGGAAGGACAATAATAGGTTGAGCTGTCTTGTCAGGATAGGATTGAAGGTGATCTATTGTACATCTTGAAAAAATTCCTTAATGTTATAAAACTGCTTACATACAAACACACACACACAGACACACACACACACACACACACACACACACAAAACTGTGTTTAAATTTTTTTAAGAGCTAAGTCACCAAGACGTGTTTTGAATATGCTAATTTTCAGTTGTGTTAAAAATCAGAAATAGTTCTTCATTGCATATCATATACCCAGCACAGTATTTATTTTGAGATGTGAAGGAAGTAATTTGAAATTTTAGTTTCATGAATACATATTTTTGTAACAGTACAAATCTGAATCCTGAACTACAGCTGGTAATCTTCAGTTTGTCACTAAAACTAATTTGCAGCCCTGCTGCTTGCTGTAAATATGGAAACAATAGTCCCTTTGCAACTCACAGACATGCAGGACCAAACATACCAATGGAAAGGAAAGGTTGTGCTATGCGACTGGAAAATTGGCAAATTGGACAGTGCTTGCACGCAGGCTGTGTTACTGGGTGAAAACCAGGTGGGAGGATTTGTTTCAAGCAGGGCTGTTACCAGGAAGACAACTTTCTGGACAAAGCAGATGGCCAACTAGAAGTGGGGCATTTTCACGTTAACAAAATCAACCGCCCCATAGATTCTGTGAACAATATTAAGTGCGTATCTTTAGCTCCAAGTCAGCCCAGTCTCCCAGGCAGAGAACCAGAGGTTGAGAGCTCATGGAGGGCTGCGTGCACACCTCAGAGGGGGCAAAGGTGGGACTGCTCTGAGCACTTAACAGACAGTCCTGTTTTTATCGCCACTTGAAGTTAATAAAAGAGTTGACATTTCCCATAGGAAAAAGCTTTCTCCTCCTCTGAGCACACAGGATGCAGGGTGGGAGAGAAAGCTCAAGGTCTGGATCCTGACAGCCCTCGGTTTTTAACTGAGCTACATGCTGTGTGACCCACAGCAAATTCCTCTACCTCTCTGAGCCTCCCTTTCCTCTTCAGAAATGTAGGGATAACAGTCTCTCTTCAAAGGTTGTTCGAAGGATTAAATGTTTTAAAAAGCAACACACCTGGCCCTAAGTGGGCCTTTATACTCAGTAAACCTGAAGGTTAGCATTTCAAGGGACACTGCTGCCACCTGTACTCCCAATCCTGTGCCCTTGTCTGATGTCCCCAGCAAAAGCATAGCGCCCTGGCTGACCACACTCAGTATGGCACTGTGGAATTGAGACCTCAACGGGACCTTCAACTATCCATTATCACCAACAGGGGAGAAGGCCACCTCGCCTGACCCACTCACACTATTGAAGCCATAAGTATACAGGTATTGATCAACTTACCACCTATGCAACTTACGACCATTCAACTTTACAACCACAATCGCGAGCCACGACTGTTCCGCGTCTGGCAGCGCAAACGTTGCCCAGCTGGGCATACGACAGTGCGGACCAGCTTCCGGCAGCACTACCATCTCCGCGTGCACCATTTCAACTGTACATATAGCCTACTCAACTTACAACCCAATCATGTTATGACCGGTCCACGGTCCCGACCGTGGTTGTAAGTCGAGCACTAGCTGTAGTGGGATAAGCCTGAGGCTGGAGGATAAGAGGGAGAGCAAGGTCTAAAATTCATCCCTTCACATCGAAAAATATATCTATATCTATATAGATATAGATATCTCCCCAAACCACCTCTCATTGTGACTTAATTGAATGCAATTAAATTTGGGTATGGTTTAAAATAATGTCCAAAGAGTCCCTGAAACAGAGCCACTTGATCTCCTGGAGACCATGCATGAAACCTCAAGTGCAAATTAGCACTGCCTGGTGTCTGTCCTCTGTGTGCCCTTCCAAGTCTCTCCTGGTCCATTCGTCAGTGTCACGACATAGCTGGTCCCTGGCTGCTCTCCGTGTTGGCGGGGTCTCACGTCTCCTTGTTTCCTCCCCACCACAGCAAGAAACTGAACACTCTCAGACATGAATGAGGCAAAAACAAGCACAAACCCCACAGCAGGATGAGGCACTGGCGTCTCCTTCCACTGCATGGGAGAAAGTGGGTGCTGGAGGCAGAAGGAACGAGGACTCCGTAGGTCTCTACAGGGTGCTTGGAAAAGAAAACCAAACCACAGTGGACCCCAAAAGGTGCCTATGGGTAACACAGCCCTGAGCTACAGTGCAGAGCACTGGGATAAATGGGAAATGGATGGCTTGAAAAAAATGCAGTCAACAAAAAGGATTGTGTCCCAATTGCCATCAGACATATCTACTTCCTTTCCTCTGATGTATGCAGGATGCATGACTGGCCCTGAATTTTATATCCCCTGGATGCTGCAATCTTAGTAAAACCCAGCCCAAAGGAGCACTAGCCTCCTTGAGAGCAAATGTGCCCAACAGAAGGGACAAAAGGAAGGAGAGCCACATAGATGCCCAGGGTCAAATGCACTCCAGGTCCAGGTTGTGGCTCATGTTTGGCTGCAGAGAAGAGCTGTTCCAAGGTCCTTAGCAGCCATGCTTACTTATACAAGAATATCCCTTTAGAGACTGCGTTCTTTGAGGGTATGGCCCATGATATGCTGCGGGCTATGGCTTTTTCTACCTCTCCTCCTGCTCATAATGCCCCATGCATTTCTGCCATACTGTAGGCATTCACTAAGTGCTAGGTGGCTGGAAAAATAAATGCACAGAGAAATGTGTAGCTGGATGAGTTTTCAAAACTGTGAGAACAGTGCACTGGGGGAAGAAGTCTGCAATCATTCAAGAGACTCTATCAGATCATCACATGCCATTTGTAGGCACACATCCAGAAGACTGATAGCATTTTTAATTAAATCAAATGGCCTTTCAGATGCACTGTTACCACAGCCACAGGTTACCGTTCAGGATGTTCCACTGGGATATTAAAGCTTATCCCAGAGCACAAAAGGTCCCTCTGAACCTTTGATGAGCTCTAATCAAAGATTCCTCAGTTGTCTGGGGATGACCAGGACCTTGACGCAATCTTCTCCACCATTCTACGGCTGGGTGTGGGTATACTGCACAGATGAACATACTAAGATCTCCTGTCTTCTAACAAAGTGACCCTGATCGCCTTCCCATCAACTAGCAGGATCTATTCCCCCTCCCCTTGAACCTGGTGGACCTTTGAGACTGTTGTGGCCATAGGGAAGTAACCCTATGTGACTTCTATGGCTATATCATAAAACTGCCATTCATTTCCACTCCGCTCTCCTGGGATGCCTATTCTTGGAACTCAGGAGCCATACTGTGAGGAAGCCCAAGCAAGCCCTCATGGAGAGATCACATGCAGGCAACCCAGCCAACAACACAGCTCAGGTCCCAGCCAAGAGCCAGCATCAAAGAGCAGATGCAAGAATGAACGTGCTTCCAGATGAGTCAGCCACTAGCCTTCAGGTCTTCCCAGCAGAGGTGCTGAACATTGTGGAGAATAAACAAGCCATTCCCACATTCCCTTTCTAAATTCCTGACCCTCAAAACCTGCAAGCATTGAACATTTTTTTACACCACTAATTTATAGGTGATTTGGAATATTTATATATTCAAACATAAATTGGAATACTGGAACTGAAGCATTGTCCCAGTCCCAAAACCCACATCCCTTACTTGAGCCTTGATACTAAGCTTCCATCCTGGGTATCCCCTAAACTGCAGGATGGGGGGCCCTTTCCTCCTGTACCATCAGATACTTTTTAGGGTCTTACTACATAACACCAATAAATCAAGAAAAAATAGCTACAAGAGAAGATTTTGAATGTTTCCAACCCAAAGAAATGATAAATGTTTGAGATAAGGACATGCTAATTACCCTGATTTGATTGTTATACAGTGTATATACATATGGAAATATCACTTTATATCCCATAAATATGCACGATCATTATATGCCAATTAAAAAGGGAAAAATAGAAATTTAAAAATCGATCAGGAAGCTGTTGCCCATCTGGCTGGTTATCCACCATTGATATATCTGTTGTTGTGTCTCCTGCAATATATAAGACTTCCCTGAATTTGCCACAAGTTCTGGTTACCTCAATAAAGCTGGAGACCCTATCCCTGACCCTAACTCTCTCTACTTACCCCAACAGTCCTGGCCCATAAAATCCCACAGACCTTATATCAACGCCATCCTGGAACCCTGACAAGAAATATCTCCACATTCTACATTCAATCCAACTAACTCCAAGGCTCCCAAGGTTGCTCAGTGACACGATAAATTACCCACAAATAAGCTACCAACGCGTTTCAGCAAACGCTCCATTTTTAGAGATCAACTGAAAGATGAGCATGTACAAAGCTCCTTTAATGTCCAAGTAGATTTCTCCAAGCAGGATCAATGCGGTGTTTCCATCCATCCCCCCAAGTGAGATGTAGTCAGAGCCTCAGAACCATGCCCAGAGTCGCGGAGTCACCCAGGATCAGAGACAGAATCCCCAAATAGAAACATCAACAGACACTGACAGGGTATTTAAGCTCATGCACATGAGTGGACGTGCCTTACTCACCTGGAGGAGCAACCTGCAATGAGAGCAAAGTAAGCATAACTGCATGACGGTACACAAGCAGAACTAGGACCCAAGCCACGGATCTAACTATGGCTATGTGGGTCAGAGGAGCAAACAAGAAGAAATGCTGTGTCTGTCTGGCTCAAGCCCTGATGTGGGCCCCACAGCATATACTCTAGTCCTGTGTCCTTGGGATTGGCCCGAGCATACAGGAATCTTTGTGGGACCCGGAGTCATGATCCCACCATAGTGGACAATGACTGAGGGTTGTGGAAGGCCATAACCACCATCAGTACCCCAACTAATAATGCAGTCATCCCAGGGGAGCAGCCATTCTGACAACCAGAGGGCCCTCATCCTTACCTCCCATATCCAAGATTTTCAATATTACCTCCTGAATCTCCTTCCAAGGCATTTACAGACATTCATGGTTCTCCGGCGGCACTGCCACTGCTGTAGGACACCAGCTCTCACAGCAGCCCCCGAAGGAAAATCCCTGCACCACTCTGGCCTCCCTTCCCTCCACTCTCACATTGCCTCCAGAGAATTTTTTTCCATAATAAAAATCTGATTGTGTCCCCCACTGCCTCTCCCTGTTTAAAACTCTCCACTGTTCAACTGAGAAGATGTAAAACCCTTAATATGGTCTGTAAGCCCTGCACAGTTTGACATCTACCTGCACCCCTTGCCCCTTTGCCTTCCATCTCCTCCTCCCTTTCTACCCTGCAGCCACTCTATGGAATCATCCATGCCTCCAAACCTCACCTCAGTGCCTGGCCCTTGCACCCTGGAAAGTCTCATTCCCCATCTCTCTTCCTCTAACTCCTATCCATCCCTAGATGGAAGAAGTAGATTCTAAGCCAGATTTATTAAGCCCAAAACCCAGCTCTGAGGCTAACCTGTGGTTACGCCCTTGGGCAGAGATCTAAATCTCTTTATGCCTCAGTTCCTCATGGGGATGATAATCATTCCTGCTTCATGGGATCATTACAAGTTAGCCCATGCAAATCAGGTAAAAATAATTGTAACAAGGCCTGGTACATAAAAGGAATTCAGTGACTGTTTACTCCTTATTCTTAGCTCACATATCACTTCATCAAACAGAAGCCTCCTCTGTGGCTCCCTACACTAAGATTCCCTCGTTAAATGCTCTTTCCTTCAAAGTACTTATTGCATCATAATTATACATTCTTTAGTGGGACTACTTCATTAGTGTGTATCACAAGAGCAGGATGCATGTCTGGTTTTGCTCACACCATATGCCAAGACTTACCACAGCTCCTGAAAATACTGGATTACTGGGTAGATGAATAAATAGATGGGTGGGGGGTGGATAAATGGATGGATGGATGGATGGATGGATGGTGAATGAATGGATATACTTATGGATGGATAGATAATAGATGGATGACTGGATGAATAGATGACCAGATGGATGATAATCAATGGGTGATTGAATGAATGGCTGTATAGATGGATGAATGGATAGGTGATATAAGTAGGTATGTATGGATGTATGGATGCATGATGGATGCATGACTGGATGGATAGATGGATGACTGATAAATGGACAGACAGATGAATGGATGGATGAATGCATGAGTGGAGAGATGACTAGATTAATGGATTATTCAAGGGATGGATGGAGGGATAGATGGATAGATGATTAAATATATAAATGGATGGATGAATGATTATATTGACAAATGGATGGATGGATGGATAAATGGATGGATTAGATAGATGGATGGATGGACAGGTAGACAGGTGTATGGATGGAGAGAGATAGCCCTGCTGACAGTGTGTGGTGATTAGCCATTCTCACCATTCAACCTTAGGCCCAGCAGCTTCATGTTCAGGAGCTACCAAGAGTCCTAGGCTGCCTTGTGTGTCCTCAATAATGATCCTGAATATCACCAGTTCTCTTTCCTACATCATTATTATTCTTACAAAAAGACAGCAATGGGGTTAGAGGAGGCTGGATATCCTGGTGGCAATGGAGTAAGAAACTTCAAAGACAACACACTGAACACAGCCACTGCCACCAGGGAAG